AAGTGGGGGGGGGGACGTGTCCCCCCTGTCCCCCCATGATCGACGCCCCTGCGTGTTATAAACACGTTTTCTAAACGTTTGTTAATATGTGACGTGTTTTTGGCCTTTGAGTTGGCCTTTGAGGGGACCGGACGCCACCAGTTCAGTGGCCCACTCGAATTTTTTTTTAGGAGGCGTCGCCCCCACCAAATCAACCTGAAACTCTTCGTGTCAGCAAATTTAACCCTCAAAATGCATGAAATCGCGTTTCAGAGGGTCTAGATTTCAGATCTTGCCCCTCATGAAACATTTCGCCTCTGCAGTTGTGACCACTTATATTCAACATGGCGTATTATCGTTTCCATGGTGTTCAGGTTTTGCAGGGCCGACACTGATACCCTATTTCTGATAACGATGGTGTCTGTGAACAAACACGTCATCTCTTCACTCAGTGACACATGTAAGTTGTCAATTGAATAATCTTCTCATTGTTCTCAATTTATTTTGGATGACCGATTAACTTCGTCGCACACTCGCACTAACCCCGGGTTAATGACTAACACATTGTATAGTGAGATAAACAACGGTCAGAAGATTACAGTCGCCTGAGATGAAAGAAAACAACAAACAAGATGGCGCGCTCGAGTCACGCTCCCTTAGCGGTTGTTGTTTATTCGACTTTTTACCTCGCGGTATTCTGCGGAGAAACGGGTCAGTCAATAAACACGGACACTTTACGCAGTTTGTTGCAGAAGCCTGGCGCGGAGCAGACTCGGTGGCGATCATTGTTAGATAAGTATAGAAATGGGAATCATGATGTCAAAGAAGACGAACTCGTCGAATGTACAGATTACTGCAGTATGACGAAAGAGGATCTGTATGACATAAGCCCGCAGTGTTTTTGCGATACGTGTCAGTACAACCAAGATCTCGATTCGCGGGAGAGTTACGCAATGGAAAGTAGGTACACAAGCATACTATGCTACCCGTACTAACTGCCATCACTGGCGGACCCAGCAATTCGGGGGACCTGGACTGGGTTTGTCAATTGATTTGTCATTTTTGTTGTCGCCTGAAGGGGGGCTGACGTGCCCCCTCCTGAATTCGCGCGTGGGGCGGACCGGAAAAAACTATTCAATTTGTTTTTGTATAATATAAAAAAAAATCATTAACTTACTCTGATGATTTTAAAGTTTGGACCCCCCCCCTCATAAAAAAAATCCTGTATCCGCCCCTGTTAATGTAAAGGTTAATGAACCTCTCTGTCTCTGCCAATGACGAACATCATATTATCTATATCAGTTATTTAAATATTGATATGATGACTCAATCTAAACACTTCAATTGAATCGAATGATTTCAGCGAACACAATAACATATTTTATAACGTGTCAGCCGGTAATATCTGGATCACACGATTAGAATGTGCAAGTCAAAATAAGGTGAATCAATATTTAGGAAATATGTTGTTATAAGTTTTAACATGTTTAGTTAAATGCTTGATCCCGACTTTAGCTTGCACGCTTTGAACAGCGCTAACAAAGACAATGAATACATGTTGGTAACATGTATAGATCGCGGTCATGGTTACGGTTAAGCTCTGAAGTTATAGTGTCACGTGAAAACTTTGCCCAATTATGTATTACGATCTGCGGCTTCGCTCATAGCCAGTCATACAATAATCACTAATATATATCTATCACACCACTGCATGACATTTAAAACACTACACAAGTTCTGATATCATGTTTTTGCATGAAACGGTGCCCATGCACGCCACACATGGTGACATGTGTCAACTTCGAACTGAATAACAATGGGCATGAGAAACCCCACAAATGTTCTGTTGTCTGAACATGTGACTGTACCCGCTACGTCGATGTAATACTACCAATCTTAGTGTTACTTGACACAATGAAGATACTTTTTGAAATTAAAAATGTATAAATCGTGTATAAACTATGCACACTGTGTACAGATATTAATAACCCCATTCATTCTCTTGCTTACGCCGACAGTGCGGGACTCACAGGGCAGATTTCCGTCGGGCTTCGCGCGCGGTAACTTTAAATGGATTGGACAATACACAGAATGCCATCGAGTTGTAGACGTAGTAACAAATACCAGTATGATTAATGGACAATACTGCCTCGCCGGATTCTTCCCTTCACCTGAGGTATTTATTTATTTATTTATTTATTTCACCACTGCTTGCATTATTTATTTACTCTACTTTGTTCTCAAAATTAGCCAGAACCACCTTCTAGCAGTCTCATTGATGTAGCTCTGTGTGTACCTGACAGCTGCAATGACGGAGATGTGACGAATCTGTTAAATAAAAGTTAGTAATATCCATTAATTTTAGAGATAATGACACGTTTTGTAGCAATTGTGGTATTATAATCCCTCTGGATACGTCTTCGGCGATTTGTTTAAAAAACGATGCGAACTCGAGTTTTATTCCAATATTTCCATTTTGTTCTCAGGTCTCCTACCAATTCCAAGCATAGTTACCTTGCTTGGTGTGGACATGCACCACGTGTTTACCTTCTGTTCATATAATGAGAGCATATCGACGGGAGCAATAGTCATGATGTGAGTACCAATATGTGTACTATGTATCAACAATTAATAGTTATTAATTAAATGTGTTGAGATTACAACTACGCTTATATGGTATATGGGATTCGTAATACAGTGGTTATTTACAGATGCATTACCGGAGTGCTGGCTTTACTAGTTGTAATTGGCACGTGGTACGAACATTTGCGCAAGTCGCCAACAGCCTCTGATAACAACGTCACGGTGGCCGGGGGTGTATCGGTGAACGACGCGAATTTTACTCTTCGTGCAAAGTACAATATGGAGCCTTCCGTATCCACCAATGAGAACAATAAGGGTACGTCGTTATAATATTAAAGCAGTGTGTTTTTATTCGTGAGACACTGATAGAAATTTAATTTATTAAACTGCATAAACACAATGCCTTATAATGAATTCACAGAAAACAGTCACGGCATCTTAGCCAGAAATCAGTTTGCATCACACAAAAAAAAATATTTTTTACATACACGTTATATACAATTTACGAGATATTCAAATCTGAACTTCCCTGCCCAAATTACCTTATTCGTCGATAGCTCGTTGAGGGCCATAGAACCTCGAGATTTGTTTTGCCTTCGAATAATGTTCCATTCTCCAATGTCATCGCGTTTACTGTTCCCATGGCTACTAAAACTATGGTATTTGGAAAGGTGCATGCAATGTTGGTAAAGAATAGAACATTATTGAGGGGCAAACACAAGTCACGTTGTTCTCTCGTTCTCAACGCGATCTCGGCACTCATATGAGAATATAATGTAAAATGCAAGACCCACTTTGAATGACTAAATTCACTAATGTATTCATATAATGCAAATTATACACACACTTAATAATAAAGCGGCTATAAATCGATTACAGTTTTGTAAAATGTTATCAACAGCAAATGTACTTATTCCGGCAATTTCAGTGGCTATGTTATGTGTGTTCCATTTGTGGTTTCGAAATGTGGAGCCACAATTGTCTAAATATAAAAAAAAATGCGAAAACAATTTTATCAGGGCTCTAAGTTCCCATGAATTTGCATCTGTACATTAAAGTTGAAGTAATCACATTTTGTTCATCCTGATTCAAAATCCAATATTTTAATTTCCGAATTTTTAATCTTCATCGTACTGTCGTGGATGATCGCTCCAGCACTTTGGGAAGAACTGTTGACATCGTTCTCTGCAGTTAGTAATGGATCACGTATACTAAACACACACGATGTGGACAATGGAGACGATTCGATGCCTGCTTTATATGGATTCCGAGTTCTCTGTGTGTGGTGGTTGATTGTTGGACAGACGTTGGTACTCCAGGGACCGTATATAGGTTAGTTAAATGGGTAGGGTCTGGGGTTATTCCCATCATGATTGGAGTTTTTCCGCATCCATGTAATATCAACCTCTTTGCTGTGCGAAATGAACATACACAAACATAGCGGTACAATGAATATGCAAAACAGTTTGCATTCAAAAGCAAAAGTGGATATCTAACAGTACGAAATAAACATTTTCACTGGAAAACTATAAATTGAAATCCTTTCGCAAAACTCCATATCCTTAATGATAAAAAGTATCCAATCATTGCTAACGCGACCAACACTGTCAGCGAGCGCCTAGCAACACTCTACTAAGCTTTCTCAGTCCATATTATTGCGGCGTAACAACATTTGCGACACGTGTATACAAGTGTCATTACAATCTTCCCTGTAATGGTCATAATGTTGAAAACACATCAATGTATTTTACCATTCTATAATAATCATCGAAGAATGTTATATCTTTCAGGCAATCCGCTGGACCTTGTATACATTGTTCAGTTTTTATTCGTCCAAGGGGTTTTGTATTTCATGTACGTCGAAGATTCGTTTTTCTTTCTTAGGTGAGCTTAAATTCAAGTCAAATTTAGTGTCTACACTCCATACATCATATGTGAACGTATGATTGTTTTGTCGGGGTTGGGTAGGGGAAATGAATAGTGTTGTGAGCTGAATGATTGTTTTGTCGGGGTTGGGTAGGGGAAATGAATAGTGTTGTGAGCTGAATGATTGTTTTGTCGGAGTTGGGTAGGGGAAATGAATAGTGTTGTGAGCTGAATAAATGATACTTTATAATCGAGTGTACGATGCTTATGCCGACCACATATCATTTGAAACATCACGTTGTTTGCCCATATAAGTGTCAAACCACGTAGTGTATGTACATAACGCTTGCTAAATATTGTTTGTTTCAGCGGCTTTCTCTTGGCATATTACTCGCTGTCAAAGATGAAAGACGATGGTAAAGAAAACTGGTTCTATTTCTATATACATCGTATCTGGAGGTATGAACTTTAGACTGGAAAGAGAAATTGGAATTTTGTTTTACTTTTTATGTTTATTTTTTTTGAGATTGTTTATTTATGTCAAAACCTATCGTAATCATAACTGCGCGAATCTTTCCTATATAATACTGATTGTATAGCAACATTTATTTCAGACAATATTATATACAAAAATACAGTGGTCATAATTATTTGACCAGATCTTTCAGAAAAAAATGTATTTTTGATCGGTCGTATCAGTTTTTCACCAATGTTACTATTCATTGCAGGCTTACTTTAACATATTATATTGCCATATTTTCGTGGATGTATCTGGTTGAATTGTTTGCCGGAGGGCCCTTCAAATACTATCACATGGAAAGTTTAGAATACTGTTACGACAACGTTTGGTCGAACCTTCTGTATATAAATAATCTATATCCATATCCAGGTAGTCTGGCTGAGCAGGTACGTAACCTAAACGCCGAACCACATGATGTATTTACGTCGACGGTCTGAAAATCATTATTACGGTGTCAACGTAATATATATCACGAGTACGAGGAAACAGTATATGTATTCATACGCACATTGTTTTAATCTGATAGTGTGGAGCGTGGTGGTGGTTCATGGGATGTTTAATGCAATTCTACATTGTCACGCCGCTAATTCTTATACTAGTTCACAGGTAAGTAGTAACTGATCTGCTATCATCAGCAAAACACCATACAGTTAAGGAAAGCTTAGAAATAACTCCCATGTGCTGGAAGTATTAAGTAGAAAGTAGAAATAAGGAATTTATTTTTATATATAACAAATATTTTTTTCAGCAACATTTTAACGTATATCATAAAAAGAATTGAACTTGATATCCAGTAGTGATTGGTGACATCATGACATCATATCATTATTCAAGGGGCGCGTACTGAGTGACTGTACTGCTATGTTGTTTCAGAATGTTCTAACACATAATGCAATACAACGCAATAACATTCCAATCGGTTTTATGATAGTACTGTGGACACGCATGCTGTACCCAATAAATTACTTCACATTTTCCATACAATTTTAATATTTGTTAACTTTATTATTTAACGTTCACAGAAAGCCTATCATTGGTTTTTCGACTATTGGCATACTTATTGCTATGTGCGTTTGTTGCACAGTGGCCCTGGCCGAAGCGTATGAAATACCAGTTACCTTAACACAGTCATTACAAGGGTGAGATGAAAAAGAAGTCAATGTCAATCATGATTTCAAATCCCCAGTATAACCGAGAATGAGAATTGCTTTCTCCATTTCAGATGCGATTAGAAACTGTTAATTTACGAAATAGCAACAAATCTACTGTTGAATCCAAATGTATTGTATGTCAACCACAATTAACCAAAATGTTCAAAGGAATATAGCTCAAGAACCAATAGTTTCTTAAACTTTTTTGGTATAACAGGTGATAACTGTGTCGTTGCTTCTTGCACGAAAGTATTACAAAGTGTTGTCTGAACACGTCAATCCAAATGACCACAGTGACTCTCCGAATATGTCATGAACTACGTATAAATACTCTTTTGGAATTATTTGTAAACACTTCGATCTTACCAATGCAATAATACGCCGAGTGCATTCGCTATGTTTGTAATAATTTGTTAAATGTAGCAAACACTTTTTTGCGATTAGGTCCATAGTTTTACGAGATTCGAATATGAAACATTAATACTTTTGTTTGCAGAGGTTTGAGCGAGTTGGATATGACGTTTAGCCAATATGTATACAGTAAGCCGTACACACGCATGACTCCGTATCTTATTGGAATCATTGTAGCCTATGCAATCGTAAAGTACGGAAAAGACGTTCAGATTAATAAGGTACATACAAAAAAAATATATGTTATTTCCTATAGCGTATACAAAGCGTGTAAAATACTATTTACACGAGATTCAAACATTTGTAGAATTTTAAATGACGAATGAATACTTGTCTTCCAGTTTGTCAATGGATGTTGCTGGTGTGTATCGATATTTGTGGGATTAGCCTGTGTCTACGGTATGTACGGAACATATCTATTTGACGGCAAAGTACTAACCAAGTTCGAGACTTTGCTCTTTCATGGCTGCCACCGTTTGGGTTACTCCCTGGCTATTGGCTGGATGTTATATGCTTGTTTAACCGGAAACGGGGGTAGGTAGCAATTTTCCAGTTTGTCAAGCAAATGTTGTTAATGTGAAAGAACAATTGTTTGACCTTTTCTTATTTGCTTTTAAACATATGGGCTGCGATACGAGTCTTTGACATATATGACTATAGTAACGTCAACTCTCAATCTAATCGATTGGTTTATGTTTGAAGCACATATCCACCTGAAAAACTCAAGAATGGTTAACTCATCAACTTTAGTTGTCTGGGAACGAATATTCAGTATTCATTGAAAACATTTGTGTTCACATAAAGATTTCATGAAAATCTACCTATGATGTTTTGAGTTATAAATAAAAAAAACATTCCCAAATTTGAAGTTTTATGGCAACCAGATCTACTTCTCGAAATATAGTTAATGATTGAGCAACTTCTCCTGAGCATTACATCAAAATAAGCCTATAGGTTATAAATGAAAAATAATTTCGGAAATTGTGGCTATGGCAACCATATTTGAATCGCTATCAAAATCTAATTGGTTTGTATTAAAGGCAACCTCTTCTGAAAATTCATTAATATATATCTTTAGTTAGAAATAAAAAAACATTTCCGAAATTGCTGCTTTCGTGACACCAACATGTCCATGCATCAAGAAAGATTTCCTGAAAATGTCATGAGAATCCATCTATACCATTTTGAGCAATAAAAAAAAATCATTCTCACAATCGGATTACCATGGCAACCAGATCCACATTTGTATCGAAATCTAATAGTTTGCTTACCATGTTCAGGGAAACCATTTCTTACGATTTCATGGGAATCCTACAATAACCTTTTGAGTTATCAATCCAAAATCATCGCCGAAATTGTTTTTTTTTTTCATGGTTAACGTGTTTCACATCTCTATCAATATTGCTATTGTGGCAAGGGCGACCCCCACCCAAGTAATTGTATACAAGCGTACGTAGACCAACACATGTTTTTAGCGGAGGAAATTATTTATGATCAGAGTAACATAATAATCATGTGCATATTTCTTTGCAGGTTTTGTTAATAGGTTTCTTTCTTGGAAGTTTTGGTTACCTCTTCATCGCTTGAGTTACGCCGTTTACATGATCCACGCAATCGTCATTGTCACTTATATCATGAACAGAGAACACCTGTTTTTCTTAAGTTTTCTAAACGTGGTAAGTAGGTATTCTGTTAGACCACTTTATTGAAAGTGTGAAAATGTTTTACAGTCGTGGTACACATTGTCATAATATATATGTGTGACTGTCAACACGTTTTGATCTATTACAAATCGGAATGACATTTCCTTAAACAACCTTGGACAGAATGTTGATTTGCGAATTTATCGTAAACTTGAACGTTCGTTGTAACACATGTGAATATTTCTGTATTCATTCATGCCTATGTGGACCATGTTGGCACTGCTAACAGTAATTACATTTCACGTGGTATACTAAGCAAACCAACGGCCTGTTTGTGGTCGAGGTTTTATTAAAAGTCCGAGGCCGCAAATAGATAGATCAAACCAAACCCAGAGGTGGCATTTACTATTAGTAATGTTAAGTGCTCATGATTGGCTTATTGTTCGAATAAGATGAGTCACTACCATGTGATTGACTAGTACAATATTAGAGTATAATGTTATATACTTTTTGTCGTTGGAAAAAAGGAATCGAGTCGGCAACGGGCGTGCTGGGAGCTTCGGCCCCTAGCTCTGCCAATAACTGACATTAGACTAAATCTATTATGTTGTTTGTATTTAACAGACTGAAAGAGCGTTATCTCTGGAACAAAATCCCTGTGGTAGAACCACATGAAAACAATACAATCCCGAGTAACCTATTTGACAATAGAGACAATTTTCAGTCAAAGTATACACACTTGAAATAAATGATATATCACATAATAGCCACAAAAAGTAAAAGTACAATACATAACTTAATAAAATATTATATATATAAATAAGAAGTATACAGTTACTTTTACTTTTTATTTTTCTCTTACAGTTTTATTTCTTTGTCGGCAACCTCTTTCTGTCTTATTTTGGTGCCTTCTTCTTTGCACTAATGACGGAGAAACCGTTTCTCAGAATGGAACAGGTGTTGTGGAGGAAGTGGAACAATCGGAAATCAGGAAAAACGTCAGAGATCACAAATTAGCGTTGAATTCACCCACAATGAAATACAGTGCAAATGTTTGGCATCTTGTTTTCTCTCTGAACTCAGAATGCTCAGGGAATTGATGATGAATTTGAGCACCAAGTCTGACCACAAATGTGGTACATGCAATTTTCCACAAATGTTTTTTGAACACTATAACCATTGCTGTATATCTTCACATTAGATAGTTCAATCCACCAGGCAAACTCGTAATTATTTTTGTTACTATATTTATTTATTAACAAAATAATGATATGCAGTATAAGTCACACAAGAAGACCAGCTGATCATGTGATTGATATATTAAACTGTCATTCGAAAATATTAAAAGTATTATTTAGAACAGCATACATGTAGTTCAACCTCTCTTTTTAATGATTACTTAATTTTGAAGACATGAACTGCTCCAGAAAGTCTTGCTCCATGACTACTATGGACAGCAGACACAATAAGATCAACACCCTGAAAACAAAGTGTGGGACAATTACACTTATCCAATAAGTTATATCGTCTAGCAACAAATATTCTAGCAAATGAGCACAGCAAATAAACAACATCGTGCTCGTTTGCATGAACTTGTATTGTACGACCCAGGTAGCTAAAAACATGGTGCATATATTGTAACCACAGTAATAAATATTTATAGATATATTTTAGATAAAATAAATAGTTCATATAATATATATTTTGGTCGAAATTAGACCATGAATAATATGAACAGTGATTAATATAATCTTGTTAATGGAGTATGTACTATGTGTTTAATATGTACAAACATATTTCACGTATGTATTTGAGATTATTTCAAAGATAGCTTGTTACTATTTCGAGTCTCAAATTGCTGACCCCAAATGTTTGAGTTACTATATTATATTGATGAACACATTCTACCAAATAATGCTCTCGCAATTTGAACAATACTGATAAAATAGAGGGAGCTGCTATCTCGAAGAACAATGTTCCTCTACCTGAGAATTGGGTCAAGTTTCATGACTTCACTCAAATGTGGAAGTCATTGTGATAATCAGCTGGACTAATTGAAACATATCAGGTGACAGTCCCAGCATCTGCCTTAATGTGCATGGAAAATGCGTTAAAAAACATTAAACAACTGAATATTAACAAATCCAGTTTACCACTTACCTTGATATGTTTTAATAGTGCAATATCACTGCCAAATCGACTTCCTTTCTGCAAGTGAAACACAAAATTGTCAATGAATACGTAATGATGAACGTTATACAGCGTGATATGAGTAAATAAATACCAATTCCTGCTTAATTCAAATTGTTGAATGATTAACACATAATTCTGATGTATATTGGAAGGTGAAATTACTATTGTGATTTGGTTATTTAATAGATGCATTTCAATTGCACAACAAAATCATTGTTTCAGGATCAGAGTTTCATTAATCATATTGGACATTTCCCAAGTAGCCGTAATATTAGAATCATGGTTACTTAATCTATTTCTTGAAAAATGTAAAAAAAAAAACAAAAAACAAGAAAACATTTTCTGATCAATTTGTTTTCCAAGATCGAGTGTTTGTGCGTAATTTCATATTTACCATAAGAAATGATCACAACAATTTTACTGGAAAAGTCGACTTTTACTTTCATTTTTGTTGAAATGAAAAATGCTGTGGAATACATTTTTACAGCAGAAATCAGTGAAGTTCAACAATTGAACAGCGACATTATTTGTATTTTCAATTAAATGAGTCAAAATAAAGTCTAAACATAAAACACTGAATCAAAGAAGGTCAGTTCCAACATAGCCATTATTATTATTATAATTATATACTAGTACATGGCTGACGTTGAATACTGTAAAATACTTTATCTTAGCCGGAACTAATTTCGCTGAAAAGACTTTTTGTGCGTTGGTAAGAAATTTATTTTCACTGATTTTTGATGAGTAGATCGTAAAATATGGAAAAAATTGTATATTCACCGGAATTTATTTTCATTGAATTATCTTCTTAGCGAAATTAGCACATAAATGTATTTCAAAATAGTACTTTACAGTACTCTAAATGCAAGAAGTCGCACTAGTTGTCACCCGGTTTTAATAAACATGTGACGACGGTTTGATGATAGATTCTTATTTATACAATATTTTTTCGACTACCTTTGAAAAGCTTTGAATTATTGTTTCAGTAAATCACCAAACAAGGCAATTTGTTGCACTCAGTACAAGTTGAGCTTACAAGCTGAATCTCAATTTCTACTGTAAATTACACGTAACTGACAAGCATTACAGATAAATAAAGCCATCAATACCAATTATTGATAAAATAGACAAGAATCCACTTTACTCACTTCATTTGTGCCGTATTCAGCTGAAGCCTGAAAATAAGTCAACACTTTGGTATAATAATGGTCAAGCATAATTAAAGTTGTACTCTAAGATTATGATCTGTATATTATTGTGTATATGATGATATAATATCACTATACCTTTTTTCCAGGACATGGAATGATGATTCCAAACAATCCACACTTGCCAGTGACATCACCACTCGGTGGCGACAAACCACCTTCAAACATATATACACGACCTTCTTCACCTAGAGGTGAAAGTAAAGCATATTACATTTTGCATTAAATATTAAACAAATATAATTTGTTTTTGTCTCTGTATTAAGTTTATAATAAGGTGATATAATTTTAGGCTAATCTGACGGAATTAACTTTTTTTGGAGATATTTTCAACATTCACAATTCTATGAATTGAGACAGACTAAATTTATTTTGGTTTTAATAACACTTACCACCATAAAGTTCTTCAGTGATGTCATCGGTTCGGAAAGATGATCCTATTAATAAGTCATCTGAAAATAGATAGTTGAAAATTTTTTATAAAATATTAGTTCAGGCAGCACAGTAAAAATATTTTCTGCATTTGCACTTTTTTAACTATATATAACTATAGTGGTATAAAATGAGTTTTATATTTATACTTAATAGTTATAGGATATACATGACTGCAATCTGTTAATACCAATTACTGCAGGTACTGCAATAGTAAAATATGTAGGCATAACACAATTAAAAATTGATATTTATCCGATAATTTGAAAAACATGAACACACCTTGCCAGAATGTTTATATATTATTTATGTGTATTCATTCTCCAAATATTTTTTAGTGGCACACAGAGGAAATGCACATACCAATATCATCACCGGTAATGTCATGTATAACAATCTTGTTACCAAATCTGGCATAACTTCTGTCACCACTGAATGTAGCAAACGGTGTTGGTGGTGGCACATTCATAATGGATGACACATTATAAAGAAATACCTTTCCAGCTTGAGAGAAAGTTGTGGGTATCTCTATTAGATTCCCCGGAACATCTGTGTGTTTTAACAACAATGGTACACATGATATTAGATTTATGTGTAAAAAAAAACATGGATAGCATGGAAAATATTTAATAATAATAATAATATTATTATTATTTTGAAATTGTGCTTTTATATTGATATTTCATGAAAATAGAATTTGTTAAAAAATGTTTACAAAAAACAAGCAGTGATTTAAATGATACCTATGATGACCAGAAACATAAATATTTTTTTTTATCTGTGTCTAATATCATGATTTCATATGACAATTTGGATGATAAATGCATGTGGGAATAATACTAATAGACGTTGCAACAACTCAGCTCAGATACAGTTAAAGAATAACTTGTGTAACAGTGAATGATAACAATCTGCGATTAGAATTCACATCTTGTCACTGTGCCAATTTTGAAACGCAGCAAAGTTTGCAATGTAATTTGCTAGGGCAAGGTTGTAAGTCAGCTGCTATTAGTTATTACATACACAACATTAGGTAGATAGATTCATACAATACATTTCCTCTAATATACCATTTTTTAGCCATTCATGTTGGGCATACAAGTGGTTATTTGTGTACTATTTTTAGGCATATAAAAAACACAGTCCTGAAACTGTGCATTTAAATATTCAATCATACAGGTCACTCTATATAATTATAATCAAATCAAATGTTAAAATTGAATTTACCCTTTGTAAGGCAAGGTACAGCACCCGCCCTGACCAATATATATGCCATAAAATGTTGCGGTTGTACATGGTTAAATGACAAATTAACTGCAGAATAATGAATTTAAGCTTTCTCTAAAAGTATGTTGATTTGTAAACAAAATACACTCATTGTAAAAATGTATGTCTAAGGAATAAAGACCTCAAGTACACACAAAATGAAATGTAGGGAAAGGTCAAGTCAGGATATCTATTTTTAAAATTACATATTTTTTTAGTAAAACAATATAAAGTTTGAACATTTTATGTTTTCAGCATGTAAAATATGAATGTAACTTTAAAAGACTGATTGTATAAGATGTAATCGGTTATTGTGACTAAGATAGTGGTAATTCATATAGAAATATATCATAGTTCACATAGCTAGCTTACTTAAAGAGTTGGCACTGAGTACTAGAACATCCTCTTCTTTATAAGGATTACCAGTTGCCATGGCAGAGCCAAGTTTCCCAAATGATTTGACACCAGTCATAGTACGAAAAGGTGATGTAGGATTATATTGAGAGCTGAAATTGAATATTTGTAGCCGGCCGACACTTTGGGTATCATTCTTTGAATAGCTGCAATTTTTACTGAATTCAATGAGAAAAATAATTTGGTTGGCTGTTTGCTAATGCAATAGAAAAACAATGCAATATTTTCTCTTTTTAGAGGTGCACATAAAATCAACAATTGAACACACATATTTAGTAGTTATTCAGTTTAGTCCAATCTTGAAAATTACATTATTCTAATTTTAATGTTATTTTCGATAAAAATGGAAGTTTTTCTGTTGAAAACAATAATTTTAAAAGCTAATATGGTTTTTCAACAGAAAAGTTTCGGTTCCTTCTTTGCATTTGCAAAAGTCTACTTTGAAGCTCTATTATTAGTAATAACTTCAGATTTTTCAAGTAAGATGACAAAATGCCAGAATTAGTAGAAATTTTGCATATTCCAGCGAACAGTATTATGGGAAGCTGAAAAAAAATTGACACAAAGAATGTATACACATGTGGGTTTAACTTACAAAGTACAGATTCGATATGTAGGAGAAGATACTGAGAGCCATGTATACTAGTAATTGACTTGGGACTGGCAACAGATACACTAACATCATAACCAAACCATTCATAATCCTGTGAAAAAATAATTTGAAATGTCTTGAAAAGATATGAATAAAAGTAATTCACCCATGACAAGTAATTAGATAAAGTACATCATTGGGTAACTGACACAAAAATAAATATTGGGTTTGAAGTTAGTAAATAATTAGATAATCAACATATGCCAAATTTTTTGTCCGTTTCTAATTGCAAGAGTTCCTTACATGGAGGCAGTTAATGAATTTTAAAACAAGTACTGTAAAATACTTTATTTTAGCTGGAATAAATTTTTGCCATATAGTCTTTTTGGGTATTTTGTATGGAATTTATTTTCACTAATTTTTGACGAGTTAAATGTAAAATATAGAAAATAAGATATATTCACTGGATTTTGTTTTCACTGAATCATTCCTTCAGCAAAAATAACGAAAATTAATTCCAAGCAAAAATAAAGTATTCCACAGTAATCACAATCATAAACAATTACTATATCTGTATTTTGGTTACAAGTGACAAACAGGATCCTGGAGCAGAAATACTATTTTCCTGTCTCACTGATTCCTCATATTATGTAATCTTATCCTTATCCTTCTAATATCTGGTAGTATGCAAATAGTTAAAAACTGACCTGTCTTCCTCTATGTCCAATTCATATTCTAATACTCAGCACATGCTTACCTACAACAGATATATCATATACACTTTACTTAAATCACATATATCAATTATTATTAGAGGACACTTACACGCGTAATTATTCCCTATTTGGAATTCGCATTCCAATTATGGCACTCTGTAACTTATGACGTTACAGTGACAGATGTATAATAATAGGCCATTATACATCAAGATTGCCTATAATTAAGCCTATAATTTTCACAGGCAGTTTGACATACCAGTGAGATCTGTATTTGAGAAAAGTACATTGACCATCCCTCTTTGGTTTCCACCATCCATTGGAGCAAATGGTGAACCAACAACCAAATCATCAAATCCATCTTGATTGAGGTCTCCACTTGTCAGTGAATGTCCAAGATTACAATACTTAGTCTGAAATAACAAAAATAACAAATATCAATTTTAGCAAATTTCATTGTTTCCAGATCAAATTGACATTACTACATGATCACAGTCCTTGTTTCTCACTGCATGTCCTTTAGTGTTTTCACCCATTCCTTGATATTTAGATGTTGTACACCTGTTTTGGCAAATGCTTACTAAAATCATGCTTGCTTGCTCTGCTTCTGGGAATTAATATTGAAATTATTTTGAAGTTTATAGGGCCTGTAAATAATACATATGCATAACATGATTTTTTTATGAAATAATTGGTAACCCTGTTGCTAAAATAATGAGAAGACTCATGTCTAAAGAATAAACTGTGTTCACATAGCACCCATGTACATTAAGACTCCTTATATGGTAACTCATTTTTATTTTTTTAGTTGAAGTCAATTTTTTCTCCACATATCAGTCAGCCTGTGGCCGTTTTCATGTTTCTGTTCACATATCGGATATAAATGTGCATGTCACTGCTTTATTTTAGGTTTCTTGTCATATTTTTAGAAAAAAAAAATAATACA